GTAGACCAGGCTAGACTTAAACTCACAGAGATTCACCTGCCTCTGCCTCCCAAGTGCTGGGATTAAAGGTGTGTGCCACCACACTCAGATTGACATGTTTTTATTTTACATGTATGAATGTTTTGCCTGGAAGTATATAAGTCCACTGTGTGTGTGTGCGTGTGTGCCTGCCTGTCTGTCTGTCATGCCCACGGAGGCCAAAAAAAGGCACTTGATACCCTGGAACTGGGTGCTGGGAACTGAACCCAGGTCCTCTGCAGGGAGCAGCCAGTGCTTTTAACCACTGAGCATCTTACTATCTCTGACTTCCCAGGTCTTTATAATGCCTGTCCTTTGGGCTCCAGAATTAAACGCACCGCAAAAAGGGCCACAATTAGAGCAGTCACTGGCTCTTAAAGATGCCTCACTTTGGCTTCTGTGCTTATATAGGACTTGGCTAAAATACAGCTCTATAGAGAATGAAGAGTCAAAGCTGTTTTCCTTCCTGAAATAACTAAAGAATAAATTTTTATAGTATACCTTTCAAATCATCTGCTTTGAGATTAACAATTTAGGCATTTTTATTTCCTAAATTCAATCAAATCTGAATTAAACTACAAATTAAGTCTTAAAATCTATATTCATGCGATAAGATGCAAGGAATTTAAGTGCACAAAACCAGCTATATCCCCAAGGAAACATAAACCAAGCTCTTTTAGAATGGATGTTTATGTACTGAGCCTTAAGTGTGCAGTATGGGAGTTGGCATAGATATGAGAATTTCTAAATAATGTATTTCTTTCCCTGACTCCAGAAATGGCTGATCAAATGATTAGCCCTTCTAAAGTCTTTGGTATAAATGAACACCAATATACCTTTAGCACAAAAGCCACTGCAATTTTCAGAATTAAATTAGTTACTTAAAACTGTAATCCAAATACATTACCATACATGATCAACTAGGAAGGACCAACTGCTAAGCAGTTTCCAATGAAGGACAGAATTAGCTTTAGATGTCTATGGAAATCCTTGCCAGTTGTCTTCATCATGTCAGAAAGTGCACATATAGAGACAAGAACTCTGTGTGGTTGAATCTGGTCAAATATATACCCTTCATAATAAATCTTGAGTAAGATCATGGAAACTCTCAAGATTTCTTCAATCTTGACTTAAAAACACTCATATAGAGAATGTAAAATTGAAGGCTCTCTTAAGCTCACCGTGAGGTGTTGTGCTGGGATGGGGACAAGGCTGTGGTCACAAGGTCCTTTGAGCTTCTTTTTGGCATAGGAGATGTGGATGCATCTTTTCTAACTCCTGTCACAGTCTCTGTGTGAACAATAAAGGAAATAATTTGGATATTCAACAAAAGACATGACAATACTTCAAGCAGTGACATTGATGTCGTAGGCATCCCCAAGCCTTAGAGACTTGCCACTGTCCACCCCCCTGAAATAGAGCAATGACACATGAAAAACTCTGGGCGTTTGGTTTTGTAAATACCAGTGAATCCCACTGCTTTACTTGAAAAACAATAAACAGGGGTCCCAGGGACTTCCCTAATTGATGGATGTACTTTAGGAATGTGTGATCCCTCATAACTGGAGAAACAACATGCACATCGTTCATTTTTCTAGAGAAAGGGACAATAACTTACTTTAAAATCTGAAAGAGTTTGGGATCCCCAAAAGATCAAATTTATTCTCTTTTAATTACCAAAGTTTATTTTTTGTTTCCAAAAGCTATATGATAGTTTTTAGTATCTGTTCTGATTTAATATTAAGTATGCCAGCGACGATGTAGTTATATGTGTTCACAGAACTACACATCCCTATATTTCCACATATAAACACAAATACATCACATACTTTAAAAACGTAAGTGCTGGAAAGACCGCTATCCATTAGGCTGATCAACTTCATGTATAAATGCTGTGTTTCTATACCGTAGATATACCTCTATGTTTTTGCATATACAGATGGAACTAAACAGAAGGGATTATTTCCAATTTATATGTAGCTGGATGTCTGCCCATCCATCAATCAATATCTCTGGTAACTTTTTCTTAGAGTTCAAAGATTAAGAATCTCTTCTTCTGGGCCCTTTGTTGAAAACAGCTGAACTGTATCTTATGTTCAGTTCAGCATAAGGAATACATTAGAAAGAAAATGTCAGCATACTGTCTTCGCAGATCAAGCAGCAGCAGTGGCCACAGTGCCACCCAGGCCCCAGCTCCAGCATCCAGCCCACCCACATTTCCTCGGAGTCAGGCACGTTCTGATGATTGTTTCATTTTGCTTTAACATACATGCACTTGGTTAAAAAAAATGTAATTTAGCTTTGTTTCTTTTGAGATTTATAGACGCTAAAACATATTCTTTAAAAAATTCTCTTGAGACTTCTCAATATTATTGTCTGTAGGTCTGGCGAGAGGGCTCAGCTGGTAAGGGCACTGGCTGCTCTTGCAGAGGACCCAGGTTTGGTTCCCAGCACCCACACAGTGGCTAACGACTCTCTGTAACTCCAGCCTGGGGAATCTGGTGCCCTCTTCTGGTGTCCTTGGACACTGCACACAGCTGTGCTTCCATTCATGCAGGCAGAACACTCAATAGAATAAAAATATCTAAATGGGGCTGGAGAGATGGCTCAGTGGTCAAGAACACTGTTCTTGCAGAAGACCTAGGTTTGAATCCCAGCACCCACATGGCAACTAACAACTGTCCATAACTCCAGTTCCAGGGGATCCAACGGCCTCTTCTGTCCTCCGAGGGCACTGCGTGACACAGGTGCACTTACCTAGTTTCAGGCAATACACGCATACACATAAAAATAATAAATAAAATATTAAAAAAATAACTAAACAAAAATCTAGAAGGTACTCTGTCTGTGAGGTCTGTCTCCGTAGCGAGCTCTTTGCCACCGCAGACACCATGGCTGCTCTGCTGCAGGTGGGTGTTGGCGGTCGCTCCGGGCCAGAAGCTAGCTACTTAGCCACCTGCCCCTGCCGACACTTGAGCCTTCCTTCTTCCCAGCTGCAAGCGAGGCCCCTGTGATTCTGTGTGTGTGTGTGTGTGGGGGAACCAGTGGGTGCTCATTCACAATTCCAGCCAGTCCTATAAAAATGTTCAAGTTTACAATTCTCTCCCCTCCCACATCTTTCTCCCTCCCTCCTTATCTAATAAGGCAGGGTCAATACACAGTGAAAGGTCAGATAAAATAAATATATTAGGTTTTGGCGGCCAGACAACTAATGTCACAGCTATTCAATTCTATTATAGCAATGAAAACAGCCACAGTCAGTACGTACGAAAAAAGGCACGGCCGTCTTCCGTAACCCTTATTTATAATAGGGAGTATGCCGGATTCGACTTACAGTTCAAGTTCCTTGTCTTGTTCCTAAAATTGAGGGGGGTTGTCAGTCTTTTACGGAATGTTGGATTTTGTTAAGGTTCCCCCCCCACCCCCACGTGCAAACTGAGACGATCATGTGACTTTACCTTCTTTCTGTGAATGCGGTGAATTACACTGATTGATTTTTCTACCTTGAGCCACCTTCGCGTTCCTGAGGTAAATCCCACTTGGTCATGATTTATAATCCTTTTAATATGCTGCTACGTTCAGCTTGCTACTATTTTGTTTGGGACATTTTCATACATATTTATAAGGGATACTTGTCTACAGTCTGCTGGCAGTGTCTGCCTGGCTCTAGATCAGGGCCTCTTAGAGTGAGTTTGGAGGTAATCCTTCCTCTTGTATTTCATGGAAGAGTTTGAGAAGGATTTTTGTTAATTCTTAAAGATTGAAATTTGCCTGTGAAGCTATTTGGTCCTGGCTTATCTTTTTCTGGAGGATCAAAAAAAATTTATTGCTGCTCTAGGTCTGTACAGATTCTCCGTATACTCTGGAGTTAGCCTGGCAGTTTGTTCTAGGAATTTCCATCTCACTGGGTCTGTACTTCCCAGCCTTTCCTTGCCTCCTCTTGTCTTAGGAAGCAGCAGTGTGGTCACTTGATTTCAACATTTTCAGGGAACGCCCTGCATGCAGCTGCTTCTGTCCTTCCACAGCTCAGAGTGAGGCAGAACAAGAAGCAAGACCTTGTGTCAGTGCTTTGGGGAACCCAATGACGGGTCACAACAGACCCTGGCACATTGAGACTAGGGTCACCTCAGCCTCGGCTGATATCTTCAAAATTGACGCCATGCTAGGGCAGGGGCTGGGTAAAGCTAAGGCCCCACCAAGTTCCACGGCGTTTCTAGAATCCTCACTTTCTTTAGAGCCCTGATAAGGTAGACTCTGGCGGTGTGGGTCTTCAGTGTTCCTGGGAGAGAGTGAGCACTACAGCCACTCACCCCACCATTTTCACTGACATTCTCTGATACCAGAACCTGAAAACTTACTACCAAAAAACCCCACCCAACACACACACACACACACACACACACACCATTATATCTCAATATTTCACAGTTAGTATAATCATCACATTAATGAAAGAAAAAACATGATTACTATAGTTTGGATAGGAAATGTTACCCTCAAAGCTCATGTATTGAAAAAGTTGGTCCCTAGTTAGTGGTGCCATTTTTAGAGGTTCTAGAAGAAAGTAAGTCATGGGCTGAAGGGGTGGGGAGCATAGTGTCCCTGGCCCCTTCTGTCTCTTTCTCTTCCTACCTCTCAAGAAACAAGGTGCCATCACCACACATGCTGTTCTGCCCAAGTACAGGAGGACAAGCAACCATGAACCAGAGTCTCTGAGACTGAGAAAAACAACCCTGTCCACCAGCACAGAAAAAGCACTGGATGAAATCAGACATCCTCTGTGACAAAGACTCTCAACAGGCCAGGAGGGTATTTTCTCAGCCTGATAAAGAGCAATTAAAAAGAGCATAAGCTATGATCACACTTAATGGGTAAAAGACTGTCCCCCAGATCTGGAAGAGGTATGCAAGTATTCTTTAACATTTTATTTTACATTAGAATGGAACTACTAGGTAACCAAGAAAGAAAAATAAAACACATAACTATGGAAAGGAAAATGTTTTTTATGGACTGAATTGAAAACCCCACCCCCCAAAGTCTATATCCCCAACACTCCAGAATGTTGCTGCACTTGGAGACACTGACTTTAAAGAGGTAATTAATGTTAAATGAGTAAGGCCTAATGCGGTATGATGGCTGAGCCCGAATGTTTGGAAGGAGAGACACCTGGGAGGCACACGCAGCAAAAACAGCATGTGAAGTCACAGTGAGAAGAGGGCCCCTGGGCCCGCCAGGGAAGGGGCCTCGGGTGGAGCTGATCAGAGAAAGCAGGCGGGACGTGCAGGACTCATGAAAACGTGCTACATCTGAACTGGTGCTTACATGGGTGCAAGCAACTGTCAAACTTACCACACTACATCCAAGACCTGTGCAATTTTATTGTATATAATTAAACTTCAGTCAGAATAAAAGGAAATGAAACAATGCCCACGGTTTTCCTGACTTCCTGGGCAGTGCTATTTTAAGGCTTCACTCTGCTCTTTTCCTTTGACATTAGCAATCAATCACCATAAGGACTTTGAAGGGCTAAGCACACATTCTGCTTAAATCACTAAATCACTCCAGGCACTGAGGTCGAAAGGTCTAAGTGATTAGGTCCTTATTTGGGGAAAATGAAACAAGGGCAGAGAAAGAAAAATCAATATATTTAATGTTATGCTGATCCAGTCAACAGACATATAACGAGTTAAGCATGTTCTAGGACATGGGGACGTGAAAGTTAGTCTAGTGAGAGAAAACCTAAAATGAGTAACAAATAGGTACATTAGATGGTGCATTAGATGGTGCTTTGAAATACTTACTGCTCTCCATCGCAGAGGATGGGCAATGCGGATACTCTGACTTCACTGACAATGTTCCATATTTACAGCAAGTTTAACTCTTAAGATAGGCTCTTACATTTGAATTCGTTTTTAGTGAACCAGGCAGAATGATTTATTCTACATGTCTGGGTGTTTTCATAGCCCTCCAGGGTGCTTGTCTTCTGTCTGTGTGCTGTTGATGAAGACATCAATGCTTAGCATTGCTTTCATCTCACACTGCTGGGAATCAGTACGTTTTGTTATGATTAAGTATGAATAATGATAGTAGTAATGAAGGAAATGTAGGTAAACGACCCTTAGAGGAAGATGGACGCAGCCTCTGCACTTTGGCTCTTCCAGCTTACTATTCCTTCATTGTGTCTCCGGTATTTAACCACCACTGTGGGTACAGGCACACTCAAGGAACCACGAAGAGCACTAGAGATCACTGCTCACTTGAGTTGAGTCTTTAATAATCATTTTCCATTTTAAGAAGTATTTGAGAGCCTCTCAGGGAACTCAAGCACTGACAGCAGCTATGTAAGATTAGATGGTCCAAGAAACCCCCAAAGATAAAATGAAGGGCATGCTCAACACCACCAACTAACCCGGAATTGATCTGGAGCAAGATTCTGCCGAAGCTATAAAGGAACTTAGTGATCCATATAAAGGAGCAAACAGGAGGTCCCCCAACATACCAGAGAGCTCCAGAATGACTTTCAGCTGGAATTCAGGAAGGGCAGTGCCAACCCCATGGTCTAATGTTTTAATTCTGGAACTTGTGTTCAGTGACTTCAGCTCTAGCTATTCCATCAACATCACAGGAAAAATGCCTTTAGTTTCAAGGGCGTTTAGGCCAGGGCAACAGTAATTTTTCAGGAAAGAAGGGTTCTAGACAAGGTGGGAAAGAATGTTTGGCTGTGGGATGGAAGGGATGGGGAGGAAGACCAAGTGTTTCCAAATTTATGCCTTTAAAAATTCTTGACCCATTTGGATTTTTCAAAGCACTGTCTCCTCATTCCACACAGCAAAGTAAAAGCAGCTAAAATGTAACATTCTATGTGTGGATAGAAGAAAAAGTTTATGCTGTAAGTGTAATTCTGACAAGACTGTACCATTTTTGTTATCACAAGGCTGCCCTTTGACTCAAGAGAGTAGTCTCTTTTATACATTTAGCATCCATAAAATTGGCAGAATGGTGAGGAGGATAGGCGAGAGAAAGGAGAGACTGGTAATAAAGATTAATGGTCCTGCAGTAAATGTCCTGTACAGTACTTCATGATTAAAGGACAGTAACAAAAGAAACAAAGGATATAAAAGAGAAGAAATGTATACTAAAAGATTCAGTCACATTAAAAAGGGAAAGCAATCAAGGAGGTGCTAAACCAAGCAATGTAACTTGGGCAGTTAGTGCTGGGTCACTGGCCTTGTGATAACCAGGACACCCAGACCCATGGCACACACCAGGGAACGTTGCAGTCCACCTGCTGCTGGTGCTGCAGCAAAGGCCAAGCCGATACCTCCAGCCTGTCTCTGATCTGCACACACCAGCCCTGCAGTGGCAGAACCACTCAAGGGGGCAACTTCATGTACCTTCAGTGCTCAGGCAGATCATAGTTTTGCAAATGTCTCTATTAGAACAAAAGAGAGAAATACAAGACAGTCTTTTCTACGAGTGGAAGAATTTCATTGTTCATGTGAATAACTTAAAATGCAACAAAACACAGTTTTAAAAAGATAAAAAGGTTTTCTATATTATTTTCATGGAAACACTACAACCTCCCATTCACTAAAGAAAGAAGGGAAAAGAGGGACTAGGAGAGCTGCTGAGAAAGAAAACCAAGAGTGCAGTGCCCTGGAAACTACACATCAGTAGTAGCTTTCTCTGTTAAACTGATTGGTATAGCAACACTACAAAATGATGATTAGGATTCATTGTGCACAACAAAAAGTGTTGAGAAGTCAGCAGACTACACAGCAGAAAGTAATGGGTTCTGAACTCCTGTTAGTCAAAAATGATTCTGTTTCAAATTAGAAATTGATTTTTTTTTTTTTTTTTTTTGGACAGCAGCCCTTTGTAGGCTTCTTGCTTCTGTAGCTGGGCTTGGGAGAGACTGACCTCCACCACAGCCAGGGCTGGTCTGATGTTGCCTTTCTCAAGCACCTTTTCAAGAGCTGCTTTCTAATGGTGCTATGGTCTTAACCAATAACACAAGTTATTTGTCCCTTTGCTATTATACTATTTTTTTTTTTGCCATTTTATTTTAGTGCTAACACACAAGATGAATTTGTTGACATGTTAACAGAACAGTATGTTAAGCCTTGCAGGGTAACCAGCAGACCAGTTCTGGCAGATTCTCCCCTTTCCAAAATGCAATAGCTAAGAATAGGGAGGAATGAAGCACCCATCACTGAAATACTATTACCAGAGAAAGCAGAGGCTAACTCAGTAGGCCTTCTGAGTTTAAACTGTGTTTTAGGTATCCTCGCCTAAAAGGAGGCCTCCACCATCTGTCCTCAGTGGAGGGCTGTAGAATGTTTGCCTTATGTCAAAGACAAATAGTGGAGTCTCCCTTTTGAAGCTCAAAATAATATTCATCTCTCAATTACTAGGGAGAGGAAGAAACCATGTCTAGATTACTCATAATTAACCCTGTAATAAAGCATAGCAGAGCTGGAGGCCATTAAGGAAAGGCAGGGTGAGGCACATACAAGATTTTCTCACAGAACACGCCTGCTTTCAAATAACCAAACATGAAAGCTGTTTGAGAGATTATGAGAAGTTGGTTGCTTAACACAAGCAGAAGGAGCTTAGCTGGGAAGAGGGAGTAGGTAAAGAAATCAAGGTTATCAGCTGTGACCAGGGACAACAAAGTGTGGTAAAGAGGCTGGAGCAGAGGCGGAGAGAGACTACTGCTTCCCGCACCTCTCCACAGTGAGGCTCCTTCCTTGCCTTAAGGCTTGCCAGGGGAGATTATACCCAGAGCCACTCCAGAAGCAACTGGGAAACACAAATTTCTTTCATTCAACATTTCATAGCTATTTATACTTGATTTCTGTTAAAACCTAGATAGAAATAGGAAGAATTATCTGCACTTCGAAGACTGCTAGGCACTATTTGCCGCAGCGCTGTGAGTTCTGTTTTAGCCACAATGTGAAGCTGCTCGCGGCATCCCCTCCACACACCACACACTGCCAGCCAGCTGAGTAGTGATTCTTTCTCGGCCTTACTTTTCCAGGAGAGAGCTACGTCTGACTCTGTTCTTTGTACTCACTCAGAACGTCCTCAACTCACTGTGTGATGTGCCCCTCCCCTCCGTGGCACCACACGTTTAGGTGCGCCTGCGAAGCTGATTCCAGCCCAGCATTGGGGCCGTCACCTGCTGCTGCTCACTCACTGGCGTCCAGGCACCAGCAACCTCCTTCCTTGGTAGCTTCTCTTCCGCTGAGACAGACGGTAAACTTACCTCTTTGGGGTCTGCGGGTATTTTTTTCTTGACACACCCACCGGTCACCATCTTCCATGTGTGACTGAAACCCAACTGTCTTCTTCTCCTTCCTGCTCTGTCCACTGTTCGGAGAGTCTTGGCACGTTTTACAGGAAGATGAGGTTCCAGGTAGCCATCCATCACATTTTGACTTTAATAAACTGAAAGAGGAAGCATGAATGGATTGTATAGGGTACAGGAGAGGACACAGAGCACATGAAGATATTCAAATTTAGCATGAGTTGAAATGCACTTCACTGCAGTAAGGATCTTCTATTTTTTTAAACTGATGTATAATTTGAATATTTTTCCAAAGGGCTATTTTGTGTCTTGCCACAACAGATTTGGAGAAGAAATGATTTTAATGATTTCAATTCTCAAACCATACATTTGGGGTTGGGGAAATGAGAGTCTAGCCCATGACATTGCTAATAAAGTGACAGATTATAAGTAAGAATCAGAATATCTACAGACATAAGAAGCATGTTAAAGTGAGATGTGCAAATCTAACAGGCTTCCCAATTCTAAAACATCAGCGTTTGTAGCTAGGAGCAGTGCAGCGACCGGAGGCCAAGGGAAGTGAGCATGTTGCTAAGGAGGAATTTAAATGAACCTTATGGTCCAGGCCATCCAGACAGAAAAGGGAAAGGAGGAATGAAATGAGGCAGAAAAGTAAAGAGAGATGAAGGACATAGTCACGTAAGATCAAACAGAAACAAAAGCACAAAATGAATATAAAAACCTCTGGTGTGGCATATGTGAGAAATGGGCGAGAAGGAGCGAGCAGGCTAAAGACGAGGGCACACGGTGATGCACTGGGGCCTGGGACTCTGCGAGGGACTTGGGTCGGGGGGCAAGCTCTGTGCACAGCCATGCACAGTGCCACTGAAGACCAGCAGGGCAAATGGAGACCAAACCTCCCGAGCTCTGCAAGGGATGACCAACCACTGACTTTGCCAGATGCAAGCCAGAGGAGGAAGCAGAAGTGTGAGGAGAGTCGGCAGCTTTGATCAGACGCCACAGTTCTCACTAGGTGATAGAAAACAATGGTTGAAAATGAAGTGGGGATGTAGGGAAATTGGACACACTGAGACTCCAGTAAGGAGCAGGTCTGCAAGAAGAGCGCTGGCATTCGTGGCCTGTTAGTCACCAATGTGGCAGGAAGATGGGCTGTGTTCTCAAAAAAGACACCATTATGCACAGCCTGGTCGTAAATTTAAATCATCTGGAAATATTTTCGTAGGAGGGATGGCCTGAGTCTCACCCATTTGTAGAAACCGAATGGGCTGGTTTGAGATGGACCTTCTGCCGTTTCCAGCTCCTGTTTTTTCTCTCTTCTTTTTTTGAGACAGGGTCTCCCTGTAGCCCCAGCTGTCCTGGAACTCACTATGTAGACCAGGCTGGCCTTGAACTGACAGAGATCTGCCTGCCTCTGCCTCCAGAGTGCTGGGATTAAAGGCGTACGCCACCATGCCTGGCTTTCCTCTTTTTAAAGGCTCCCTAGGTGATTCTGCAATGGTGGCTGCTCCTTTGGGAAGATCATACCCACTCTCTGTGCCCAGATTTCTAAATTCTAAAGCACTGTTCTTGTGTATCAGCGGCTTTCCTCTTTTTAAAGGCTCCCTAGGTTGATTCTGCAATGGTGGCTGCTCCTTTGGGAAGATCATACACACTCTCTGTGCCCAGATTTCTAAATTCTAAAGCACTGTTCTTGTGTATCAGTTAAAACGAAGCATATAAACATGACTTAAGTTGCAGGAAAGAAATATGAATATGCCTGTTTAAAGAACTACAGGAACTAGTCCCAGGAGGTTGGGAGCCACTAGTGTTCTAGATATAGAGAAAAAAATAAGAAAGCAGACATAAGCCCTGGATGCCAGTCTTCCTGTCCACTGCCTCTTCACTGCCATATAAAGTGGCTTTCATGTACCCGAGGGGGACAAGCGCTTCCAACCTCATCTTCTAAGGAAGATGTAATTTCCTTACCATCAACTCTCATTTCCTGAGTAATTTTTCTAATGTTTAGCCATAGTTGAAAAATCATATCATAGCAAAGAGTGGGAAAAATGTAAAAAACGTTTATTAAAAAAATAATTCCTGGGGCTGGGGAGATGGATCAATGGTTAAGAGCAGTGGCTGCTCTTGAAGAGGACCCAGGTTCAGTTCTCAGTATCCACATGGCAGCTAACAACCATCCATAACTCTAGTTCCAGAGGAATCTGACAGCCTCTTCTGACCTTCATGGGCATTGCATGACACAGGTGCACTTACATGCATGCAGGCAATACACTCATACACATAAAAAATAAAAACAATAGTAGGCTGTAGAGAGGATGTCAAATTCTCCTCTGAAAAGGCGTCCCACCCCAAAACATGAAGGACTGCTGAGCTGGAGAAACTGGGAAGATGCAGCTGCAGGCAGGAGCACTCTCTTCCCTCTTACCTTTTCTTTATGGGTCTGTTCCTGCCTTGGGGGTCTGCCCCTCCTTTCCTATGAGGGAGAATGAACTGACTAACTACTGAAGACCATCTTAGACTTACAAGGACACCAGAGGAATCTATATTAAGAAGTTTTATTAACTAAGATGTGGCTTCACCCGGCTTGTGCCCCTTAAGATAAGTCTTTTTCTTCTGTCATTTCTCTAAGGCTTTATTGTTCTTTGTTGAAGATGCTATGCAAGCTGGAGTTGAAAACCACCTTGAGAATTACTCATTCTGTGGGTATGTATCACGTATGTAAGTAGTGCACGTACTGACAGATTTCTGGTTTTCTTCTTGCTAATCTCTCCTTTGTCAGAAAAGCCATATAGAACTTATAGAAGTTGAAGAAAAATTATAATTTTACAAAACCCGCACCCATCCCAGCCCAGCATACCCCTCCTAGGATGAAGCCATTCCTGTTCTCAGTAACAGGACCCATGAATGACCAGCTTGCCCGTGGATATCCTCCTCCTCTTCCTCCTCCTCCCCCCCCTCCTCCTCCCCCTCCTCCTCCTCCTCCTCCTGCCAGAACACCTGGTAACAGCTCAGTATCAGTGTGAAGTCCTCCTCACCGTGGAAATGCTCTGCAGTCTATGCTGCGGTGCTTCATCCTCTGTGGACTTCCTTTTACACCACTTGGGCTTAAGATAGAAAATTTCATATCTACGATACCAAGCAGGGATCAAAGTTCACTGCCCCCCAGTATCCATATGGTGGGTAAAAAAATGTCCTAACTCCAGTTCCAGGGGATATGACGCCCTCTTTCTGCCTTTGTGGGCAGTGCATGCAGGCGAAACACTCATACACATAAAATAAAAAAAAAAACACAAAAATAAAGAATGAAGGAGGGAAGAAAGGAGGGAGGGAGTCTGTCTCAATAAAATTTTGGCAAACAGAATTCAATAATACATTAGAAGGCCATACACCACCAAACTGGTTTTATTCCAGGGATGTAGGGATGGCAACATAGACAAATCAATAATCACAGACTTAAGGAGAGACAATGCATGATTACTTCAGAAGAGCTCTTCATAGTAAAAGCCCTGAGGAGACTAAGAACGGAGGGGATATACTCTAACATAATAAAAACTGCACAGAACAGGCCCACAGCCAGCATTTAACCAAGTGAGGAAAAACTAAGAGCATTTACTCTAAAACCAGGAATCACATAAGGTTGTGCATTCTCTCCAATCTTATTCAATATAGAGCTTGAAGTCTTAGCTAGAGCAGTAAAGGCAGGAGAAGAAATAAAAGTGATAAACATAGGAGAGAAAGAAGCTGAATTATCCTACTTTGTCAGCAAAATGGTCCTATATGTAAAAGACTCCAAAGACTATCAGAAAACAGTTCGATCTGATACATTTTCAGCAAAGTAGCAAGATACCAACTCAACATACAAAAATCAATAGTTTTCCTATATAGCAATGTAGAACACGGGTTACCAGCACATTGAAGAAGGAAACTAGCTCCTTATCTTTCTTCCTATACAAAAATAAATTTAACCTGAATCTCAAAAATTCCTAGAGGAAAACACTTGGCTCCATTAGGTCAGGAAATAGTTTTAGGAATTTACGAATAAGATTGAATGAACTTAAAAATCTTCACAGGAAAGGACACAACATCAGAGTGAAGAATAGAAAAATATGTGAAAACTGTTCATATGATCAGTGGTTAATACCTAGCACATATAAAGAATTACAAATTTTAAACACCACAATATAAAATTGCCCAATCAAAAGATGGAGAAATTACTCAAATAAACAGTTCGCAAAAGAAGAAATACAAATATCCAATAAATGTATGAAAAAATGTTCAATATCCTTAGGTACCAGGAAAATGTGAAAAAAGAAATGCTAACAAATGCTGGCCAGGATGTGGGGAAAGAGAAGACATCATATACTACTGGTAGGACTGAGACTTGGTGTGGCCACTGTGGAGACCAGCATGGAAGTCCCTATACCCACAGGCTCCTGCTGCAGCACTTCTGAGTATACGCAAAGGGTTCTAAGGCAGCACAGCAGAGAGGTAGTGTGCCTGTGTGCTGACAGCTGCACTACTCACAATAGCCAAGATACAGATGCAGCGTAGATTCTCAGCAGATGAGCAGATAAAGAAAATGTGGCATATGCACACAATGGGTTTTACTCAGCTATAAAAAAGAATGAAACGATGTTATCTGCAGGAAAAGGGATCAAATTGGAGAGAAACATGTTCAGTGAACTGATCCAAATGAAGACACATATTGCATGAATTGCCTCAGACATGCAATCTAGATGCGTGTGTGAGTATATATGTACATACATAGGCATAATGTATAACATATATAGGATATGAAAATAGAGGACAACTATGAGGCTGGAAGGATGGTAAGGGGGGGGACAACATGTTGCATGTTTGCTCTCATGTGGAATATATATGGAGCACGTGAAGGCAGAGGGGGCAGGTGGAAGGTGATTAGTGAAGGGTAGGAAGGACACATGAGGGTAGCAGGGACTAAATATGATCAAGGACAATGATGTCACAATGAAAACCATGATGCCTAATCTAACTAAAATATTAAGGAAGGGAAAGTTCAGAAGCAGATTAGATCCCTGATGTTCTATAGGCCCCCATTCAAGTCCTAGATAGCTTACCGCTGGATTTCCTTTATATGGAAAAAAATAAATCCTCACATGCTTAG